GTCCTGATTCCAGTCCTGATTCCAGTCCTGATTCCAGTCCTGATTCCAGTCCTGATTCCAGTCCTCCTAATCTCTTGCTTTTCCGTCTCAATGTCAGCAACTTTAAACGAACTATGTGCATTGATACGGTTTAGAGAGCTCTGGCTCTGAGACTACCTAAGCTCGCACCTGTGTTTCTTAACTCTATATGCTGTGATGTGCTCTTGTTGCTGTATGACCACTTTTCATAGATATGAAGTTAAGCTGAAAGATAGATATTATACAATTATATAGCTATCAAACCAGCTTATAGTATATTACCTCTTGACTATCTTTCATTCTATATAGTGGAAGCCCTATTAAGCAACCGTCAAAGCTCTGTTTGTAGTATTGAAGCATTCTATTAACTAACAGGAAACTGTGCTATTCCAAATTCTGTATATGTCAGTTTGTAATCAAATCATTACATTACACCTTATACCGGGTATCTGCGCCGGGCCTAAACTGTGCCGAACATCCTGGGATCTAAAGGGAGACCAATTTTGGTACCCTGCAAGACCGATGATAGTTGCCTTTGGTTATGCCCTGCACGAAGGCTGTGCTCCGGTTATTATGGCTTGCGCCCCCTGTGAAAGGTGTCAGTGTTTATACTTAAGCTATGTCACTGCTAGTAAAGGCTAAACCTCATCTTCATATATTGCTGGCCTGGAAGTCAGTTTTGCCTGCACATTAAATCACTTATCACGATCAAAAATTTGATCTTACTATGGCTATAACACTGACTGCACGTGAGCAAGACTTTCTTGCACGTAGCAATGCAATTATTGCTGCTATGGATCAATCTAAGGTTAACAACAAAACTATTGAAGATAACTCTACCAAGCAGTATAAGGCAAATAAGAATAGACAGGGCCGTCGTTGGGAGCTGTAAGTTTAGATCTTCATCCTGCCATAACCATCCACAGGCTGATATCTTGAAGGTTTAAGATGAGTCGTCCAGCTGCGAGCTTGGCGTGTACTAAAGACCTGGAAGATTTCATGCTCGTTATTGGGACTGGTATGAAAGGCAAAAAAGGGGATGACTTCTACTTCCGACGCCGTAATAGAAAAGGCACAGGTCAGAACAAAGCAAAAGAACTCACTGCAGTTTACAATTCTGTTCGGAATGCCTGGAATAACTTCTGCGCGTGGTGTGCAGACAATGGGCATCCTATCTCTCCTGAAATTAAGGAACATATGACAAAGGTAAGTCAATTATTAATTTGTTGATAAAAGCTCGGATTTGATACGGTCTAGTACAATAAACAATTCCTTAAGAAGGCGTTGCACCTGCGGCTTTATGCAAGAGAAGCCAAGTTTTCCGGCGAGTTCCACTATGGAATTCTGAGTGTTTATCGATGGAGAAGAAGCCATATTGTGCATGCTAAGCCAAGGGTTAGATTTGTTCAGCATCATATAACTACTACGAACTTCTATAGCGCTGGTAGGATTGGCGAATTTGCGAAGTCGGATGGAAGGGACGACGCCGAGGAAGATTCTGGAAATGATGATGAACGTGACTTAAGAGGATTATATTTTAAGGTAACTGCTCAGAATAGCATTTCAAGATGTCGACTGATGATAAGAATCAGGACGTGTATATGTTTGCAATGTTCAACAAGCAGAAGAGGAAGACGGAGCTCTGTATCAGACTTACCAAAGACGAGAAGGGCAAGGGCGACAACCCACAAGACAGGTGATTCACATTCATTTTCTAATATCATCTGATGCTTACTACTTGTTTAGAGGCCAGTGTACATTCTACGAAGATCTCAAAGGCCCTCTTTACCAAAACAACTTTCTCTTTTCTCTAAGCATGTTGCTTGCTAGAATGCCTTTCCGGGATTATCATTCCTCAGATAGGAAAGAGCTCCTGCAAAAACTTCTCGACATCAACATTGCGGAAGAGCAAAGATTTGCTCAGATACACTGGAAGGATGAATTCCTTAGCATGCCCTTCTTTGAATGTGCAGCCAACGATTCTGGAAAAATAGAGAAAGCGAGTACAGTCCATCATAGACACAAAGAAGACTGTTATAGCGCGGGAATGCCTAATCCTCCGAACTTCCACGACGTCAGAAGATTTGGGCTTAATGAAGCTGGTAAGCTGAAAACTTATTGTATCTATCTTTTTTGCTGTTAACATGTGAGGAACAGATAAAAAGTACTCAGAGTCCTCTCGTATGCGACTTGGTGGTCACATGAAGGCTGGAATGTTCCGCGGACACTACCAGCCCAGAGAGACGATCGACGGCGCTGCAAATTTCCTTGGATTACAAGCGCGAGACGACGTCCTCGAGATTAGCCAGCAGCTGAACATTCCCTATATTCCCAATCTCCTACAGTCTTTACCAGCGGAAAAGCTCTACAAGCTTCAGAAAAGCGAAGAATATCAGGAGCTGCAGGCAAAGATTAAGATTGAGACATCAGCTCGAGAAGTTAATAAGCTGAAGCGGCGGATCGAAACACTAAAGTTAGAGGAACTAAAATGGCTACGTGCTGCGCAGGAGTTCAATGATGCGCCCCGTTACGAACATGAGATCTATTCTCGGGTGAGATTCATGTTCTCAGCTGAGCGGCGCCGTCTGGAGATCAACCTCTTTGAAGAAGTTGAGCTGAGGAGTGCAATAGGCATACAGACGATTTTGGACTTGACTGCCTACTACTTACAACCCAGGGAAGTCCTGTTCCGGCCCGGCTTGGAGCCTTCTTTATGCTATTGTTCAGGAAATCGAGCATATGACTGGAGACATATATACGAATGTCATCGGGTTTCAAAGTCCCGGATTCACGGATTTGCAGATTTTTGCTTCCTATGCAATATCTGGGTCTATAACCAGGATGATTGGGAAATTCACTGCCAATACCATGTCGACGATCTTGAAAACTTCCCCGTATGGGTCGACCCACTGATTTATGACGGAGTTTTGGCAGCTCCAGGGTTTTGCGAGTGCTGCTTAATCAACCCTCAGTTGCCTGCTTGTGAGCGCATGCGTCAATGGAAATGGCGCCACACATGGTCTGAACATTATATGGAACATTTCAATAATCCTTTGGCTGAGAACAAATGTCGTCACGGATCATTCGAATCCATTCTGGAATTTAAATTTCACCTTTATGACCATCACGGTGTCCGGATACCCAATCTCTGGAGTGACACCAAAGAGAGCAAAGAGCGCCTACGAACTCCGGATCTACGCTCAAATCAGCGTGTGCAACAGGTGGTTCCAAAGAAAGAAGAGAAGGACGATGTGCAATTCCAGTTTCACAATTTCACAGTCAATTCCATGGCCATGAGCCAACCAAAGCGACAAGGCTCGTCCTCTGGACAGATCTCACCTAAATCGGGCGTAAGCAGTCCATACCAAAACCAGCTGTCCAGCGACAATGATGTCGACTTTGTTGACAATGATAATCTGAAAGCGGAACCGCTTGAGGGAAGTTTTTCTCCTCGGCCGACGACTTCAGAGGATCTATATGCAAGTAAGGATGACCAACATATGGATATCAACGAGCCGAGTACAATTGAAATCATAACTGAAGATGATGGCACTTCTTGTCCATGCTACTTAAGTGATAGTATGACAATAACTGAGGCAGGAATATCAACTCAGGATATTTCGAGCTCAGAGTCTGTCTCGATCGGTAGTGATGATTTTCCAACTACGGAATATGTGTTGTCCTTGCCTCTGAGTCAACTTAAGGAGGAGGTACTTGAGAACATATATTTGACAGACATAGGTAAAACAAGTGCGACGAAACTTTGTTCTAAATGAGCTAATCAGAGAGGTAGACGGCCAAGACGATAATGATTACCGAATACCCTATTGCAATGACTCGGGTTACGATTACCTTGGAAGCTGTGTTTCTACAGGGCATGTTATTTTTGCTAATCACAGTGAGTGTTTGATATTCTAGCAGTTCAGTCAGTTGATTTAACAGATCGTATAGTAAGCTGTTTCGAAGAGGCAAGAGATAAAGATGATATGAATGGGTTTGGTCTGGACCTTGCTCGAAACTATCATCTAAGATCTAGATCAACTAGTCATCAGGGGCTTGTCGAAAATACCCTGTCTGCCATTGATCCAGCCTTGATTAATCCCGAGGGTAAGCCTTGCTGCCATCTACTAAGCTCTTCAGACAAATGTTTGGCCAATGCAGAGGTTATGCGTGCTGCTACCATAACCGACACGATCGTCAACAAGCTGGACACTGAAATGGAGACTAGCACAAAGGCAGAGGATGAAGAATTCAACGTTGAAGCAATCGTCGGGCATAAGGTGATCAACGGAATACACTATTATAGGCTAAAGTGGGAAGGATATCCTAGCTCTGCGAACACTTGGGAGCCTATTGATGCTCTCGGTAAGTGCCAGGAGCTGTTAGAAGAATATCATAGGAAAGCCGAATGCCGCGAAAAAGCTAAGAAGAGAAGGAGATTCAGAAAATGAAATCACTAGCTAAGTTCTATGAACATTAAGCTTCCATATTCGTCTTTGCCCTGTTTGCGCAGTGCTACTGTGGCGGAGTTGCGGAAGTACGCAGGGCAATATCCGATCAGAAGGCTCCGGTTCATGATTGTGACCAAGTGTCCCACCAGTATGGACGACGCAGCTTGTACGACTTTGTTCGGTATGCCGTCCGGTCCTGGCGCCTTAAGTGGTGCTGCAGCCCGGATGGCTTCCAACACTTCCTTCTCCGTGATGTCTGGCATTGGGATCTGGTCTTGGTACTGCGCCTTCTCCATATCGCTTAGATCAGCGTCAGGCGGTTTCGGGAAGGTGTTTCGGAGCAGGCTCGCCTTCTCCTCGGGTCGCACAGCCTTCTCGCCGGTGGCGGGGCATCTGATCGCTGGCGTTACGCTCGGTGGTTGGTTCCCTCTGTTGCGAGCCCACTTGGCGATCCTCCAGAGCGACTCGGGTGACTCGGCGGCCAGCTCTACTCGGTCTCTGTGTGCTTGCCTCAGAGCCTTTCTTATAACGCGCGTCTTGCGGTTCCGTGCCTCGCGGTATAGCTCCCATGCCGTCGTTGTCGGTCTTCTTGTGTACACGCGGCGTAGATGCTTCGTCTCCGCTAAC